GTCCACTAAGTGACTTTCTCTCCTTTATAAAATTACACGAAAAATTTCTCAACTTTTGGCAGTTAGGCTTAAATGCCAGCTTGATCCACTTGGAGCTGCCTAAGGAATTAATAAAGCACTTTTCTGGGTTAAAGAAGCACGGAGGTGTGACCTCAGGACCTCTATCTGGTACCTGGTCCCTCCCTGACACTGTGAACTAAGCAGTTGTGCCTGTCCGTCTCCTTCTACTTGGAGCCAGTTAGCCATGGACTGTGAGCTGCAAATCAAACTTCTCTTAAATTGTGAGTTGGGTATTTTGTACAAGCAACAAGACAGGTAATTCCCAGTCCCAGGGAAAGCACTGGAGCATAAAGTTAGCAAGAATATGATTTCCATGAATGGATCCTTTTGGCCTTGCCTATTTGTCAAGCTCCGATCCAAACATGTGCATTATGTACAGCCTCATGGAAAGTGTAGACAACTCAGATACACCATCACTTTGTTACTACAACTTCATTTGCCATTTGGATTTTTTTTCCCCAGTACTGGGGATTAAACTTGGGACCCTGCACTTACCAGGCAGGCACTTATTCTACTGAGCTATCTCCCTGACCCTGCCATTTGGGTTCTTATTAACCTAGTTTTACTTACTTCTATACAGTCTTGCGAATCTCTTCACCACATTCTTAGTTTTCCAACAACTTCCTTTTGGCGAGGGGGATCCACAAGACGAGGAAGTGTGCGCACCATGTTTTTAGAGTAAATTTGTGGACAAATCACTACGTGCTATGTCCTCTCCTAACATTGGTCAATGCAGACAGTATAAACCAGCTGAGTTCAACAATCAATGCTATTTCATGCTTGGAGTGCCTGTCATTCTGGTCTTCTGAATATGGGCTGCTTGTCATGACATGCCAGTTGCTGCTATGATGTCTCTCAGGTAGATGGTTGTTCAAAAAGAAGAGGGTGGTGAATGAAAGCAAGAGACAGGAAAAGGAATATTGTGGGACTGTCCTGCTTCAAGGTTGTATATGCTGAGATTTTTTTGACTTATGTGTAAACATAAGAAGTATATAATTCTTTATGACTATTTTTAAAATATATTCTAATTTTTAAATTTTTTTATCATATTCTGTAGGGACTTAAAGTTCATCATATCAATACTTGATGAAAAATACTTTTCCATATTATGCCTAAGATGCTTGATATTCAGACAGATAGTGAGGTTAAGCTTAACAGCCTAAGTTGTATGGTATTAACAATAAGCTTGTCTTCTGGATGGCTAACAACCTAAGTTTGCAGACCAAAATTAGAGAAAAAGGAGGGCTGCAAGGAAAGCCAACCTTTTGGCCCTAGCCTTCCCAGGTCAATTAAGACTCAGGACATATGAGAACTTGTACTGTAATGTCATGTAACTCAGTAGTGTCCCAAATTTTCAGATCAAGGAGATTACAGGGCCAAAGAGGAAAGTGATCGATGATGTAGAGTGTGCCTAAGGAGAGTCACATGGAGAGAA